CTAGCTTTGGTCGTCTTCTCTGGCAAGCCAAAAACTTAAAACCTGCAAAAAAACTTTAGAATTGAAAGTTGAAACACATGTTACCCTCTAATTCGAACCCCCTGATTCCAAATCCACCTGTATTTTTGGCTAAAAACTCCTGGATTTTGTGTTTCGAATTAAAACACACTGATCGAAGAAGGAAATGGTGTTTATTCAACCTATGTGCATGGGATGACTTTGGTGGTTTAAACTTGTTCAGAAGGTGCTCAGTAACACGTTAGAGATAATAATAGAGCTCAAAACGATGCGAAATTAAAAATATGAATTTTACAATGTTATACAACCGGAAATGCAAGTCATGTCGTTCTCATGCATTTTGGACCATGGTAACTAGTCCAAATTTACCTTTCAATGTCCAGGAAGGGAATGAGACTATAACTTTGGGATGAGGGGTCTTGTAGAGGGAGTTTTGAGGCTCGAGGGTTTTAATAAATTTTGGAGAATTTTCTAGCTCTTTGAGGTAGGGCAATCGTGTCCTTCTTGGTCTGGCTTGCTTGCATTATATAGAGGAATGAATTGTTTCAACAAATATGGCATGAATCAAATCATTAAGCCATGTTTTAAAACAAGAATCACACATTTGAAAACTTGCCATTTTGAATGATTCTTGCCTCTCTTGGACATCACACGAATTTGGCATGTTGTTTACAGGTTGTCATGAATTGTATGGGCTCTAAGAAACCAATCCACGCGCCTGGCCCATTTGTTTTCTATTTTATTTATTTATTTTGAATTTATTTGAATAAAAACAAAATAAAATAATAAGAAAATATAGGGCAAGGTGTGAGTGAACTTAGGAGTCTCTCATAAGGTATTGAATATGTTTTAAGCTCAAAAAGTTAGGCCACAAGTCCAAAATTTCAAGTTTGCATGTTTTGCATTACATGCATTTCTTCAAATTTTCCCAAATTTTCGCAATTCATAACTTGCTCAATTTTCATCTTTTGAAGGTGATCTTGGACTTTTTGGAAAGCTCAATATGTCCTATTCAATTTATATTTTTATAATTTTTGCATTTTGAGACTTTATCTTGATGTAATTTACCTTGACAAAAAGTGTCTTTTGTTGACTTTTGAAAATGACCTATAATGTATTAGTTCATATCTTTCAAATGAAGCATTTTTTGGACTTGAGCATAAATATAAAGTTGTATAGAATTGAATTTCCTTTAAAATAGGCTTTGGTTGGGGAAAAGTTGATGAAGTATGTGAAAGTTATGCTTGGTCAAAGTTCTATTAACTTCTCCTAAGGAAACCCTAATTTGACAATTCTCGACTTTTGATGATTTGAGGGATTTACTTGAGGAATCATGATAAACCCTTGATCAAATGACGGATATCACTTCAAAATGTTGATGTCGAAAAAAAATCTTGAAGTGTGACTGTATGTTGAACATAGTTGACTTTTTACCCAATATATTTGATTTTCAATCATCTGAGCCATTGATTGAGCAAATTTGTGATTTAGGACTTGAAACTTGTCATGAACCTTGTTGGAGGCATATGGAGAACCATGGATATAATTTAAGACCTTTTTAGCCCAAAATTCTTTGTGAAAATTAAAACACTAGTTGTAGACTTTTGGCTTAGGAGGGGCGTCTTGACTGGTCAACCCTTGAGATTCTTGAGTATTTAGGGACCCTTGAAAGAATTCCTTGAAGAAAAACGGGAGGGAAAATTTTGGGGTACAACAGCTGCCCTGTTCTATCTTCTTAAACCTGAAGAGTTAGATTGGCATGTCCGCCATTCGCAACTTGAAGGTAGAAGAGGGTTGAACACTTAAGTGCCCAGAAATTTGCACTCGCCCGTGCAAGAAGTGATGTTGTTGGTTGATTATGTAGGGAATAGGCTTATATATGCAATTTGGAGAAGTGACGGAGAGTCGTCAGAGATGGGCTTATAGATGCCATCCAAAGTAATTGTTGACTTCAACTAGAAGAAGTATCAGAATAAATCTATGGTCGATTTAATCTGAGCCATAAGAGGTATATGCATGTCTTCAACTGGAAGAAGTATCAGAGTAAATCTATGCTTGATTTAAACTGAGCCAGAAGATATCCATGCTCATCTTTATCTGGAAGAAGTATCATAATAAATCTATGGTCGATTTAATTTGAGCCAGAAAAGTGTTTTCTCCTGACTTTAACTGGAAGAAGTATAAGAATAAATCTATGTCCGATTTAATCTGAGCCAAAAAAAGTTCTATGAGTATCTTCAAATGGAAGAAGTGTCAAAATAAATCTATGGTCGATTTAATGTGAGCCAGAAGATGTCTGTTGGAAGAAGTATCAGAATATATCCATGCTTGATTTAATCTGAGCCAGAAGACTTTTATGTTTGACTTTAACTGGAAGAAGTATAAGAATAAATCTAGGGTCGATTTAATCTGAGCCAGAAAGTGTTTATGCCTGGTTTAATCTGGAAGAAGTATCAGAATTGATCTATGCTAGATCTTAGTTGAGCCAGAAGATATCCACGCTCGTCTTTATATGGAAGAAGTATCAGAATAAATCTATGGTCGACTTAAATTGAGCCAGAAGATGTTCATGCTTGATTTTAGCTGGAAGAAGTATTAGAATAAATCTAAGGTTGATTTACTCTGAGCTAGAAAATGTCTATGATCGTCTTCGACTAGAAGAAGTATCAGAATAAATCTACGCTCAATCTAAACTGAGCTAGAGGATATCCACACACATCTTTATCTGGAAGAAGTATCAGAATAAATCTATGGTCAATTTAATCTGAGCCAGAAGAGGTTTTCCTTTGAGAATGACCCTCTGAGGAAATTTCCTAAGTAGCCATTTTTCAGATGTAGCCTTTGAGAAGATTGTTTGGTCATTAAAATAGTTGATGATGTTTTTCTGTTGATTGATCTTTCCTGAAAAGGTAAGGAGTTATTTATATTCAATGCCATGATGTATGAAATGCATTGTGTAATGATGTTCTCAATCATTTGAGCCATTGACTGAGCCAATTTATGATGTAGGACTTGAAACTTGTCATGAACCTTGTTGGAGGCCTATGGAGAACCATGGAAATCATTTAAGACCTTTGCAACCCAAATTTCTTTGTGAAAATCAAAATCCCAATTATAGACTTTTGTCTTAGGAGATGCATCTTGATTAGTCAACTCTTGAGATTCTTGAGTATTTGGGAACCCTTGAAAGAATGTCTTGAAGAAAAATGGGAGGGGAAATTTTTGGGTGTAACACTTTGGTTCAGTGCCAAGAAGTCATTCAGCATTATACTTTGTGTTGATGTATGTCGTCTCAATTCAGAGTGCAAATTTTTGAGTTCATTATTTTGTATTCAATCTCCTTCCACCTTATCTCTCGAAAGGTTGATGTTGCCAATCTCACTTTAGGTTTAAGAATTTTGAATAGGGGAAGCTGTTGTATCCCAAAATTTACCCTCTTTGTTTTGACTTTATTTTGGCTTATATGGCATTATCATATACATACATGTATATCATGGGATCAGGGCGTTTCTATCCGACTGTTTACTAGAGGCATTAAGAGATTTATGCAAGTCACCCACATGGTGAATGAAAATTCTTATCATGACTAATTCCAACGTATTCTATCATGTCTCTAGTGGTAGATGTGAGGCATAGTTTTCATCCGATATTTTATCACTGGGTCAGTAGGGATATTACCTTCATTTTTTGTGATTGGGTCGGGAGCCAATTGTGCATTTAAGATGGTTGAATAATTTTGTTACTGAGTTCTCGGGTTACCGATCAATGGTATTTCTGGTATTCAGAAATTCATAACTCCGACTTGGTATACCTCCACGAGGTGGTTATTTCTCCATAAATTTGCCTTGGTATTCTCTCCAACTTTTGTGTTCGGGCCAAAGGCTAATTCTCGAGGGATAATCTCCGAATACGCAAATCTGTCAGAGTTTAAGCAGTGTAAAATACTTGTAAAAGTTGGTTGAACCGCTATTTCAAGCACATTAAAAAATTCATAACTTCCACCTGGAGTATCATAGAAGCGCGATTATGGTGCCAAAATTTTTGTTTTGATGTTATCTTAACGCCGTATTTTATGACCAAGAGCTGATTCTACAAGAAAAGTGGTGGGAATTTCGAGTTCCTGAAAAATAATTGAGCATAATCTAGAATCTGTCAGGTTGACTTCCAATATTCAAAAATCTATTACTCTCTCAATTTTTACTGTATCACGCGGTTCTCGAAGCGTTGTTTTACAAATTTCATCTACTTCAATTTTGTTTCATATCTTTAATGCAAATGGTAGTATTAGGACCTCCGTTTTTGGTTTACTTCGCAAAAAAGAGTTTTCGGATCTGTGAAAAAGAGTGAACGTCGCATTACTGAAAAATTTATAACAAATTCACCGTTTATCAGACGGTTCTCATTTTTTGGCACGATGTCAGGGACGCAAAGAATTTTATTTCTTCTAGAAAAGTTCAGATGAAATTCTGATTTGTTGGGCACGAGCTTGTGGCTTGTTCGAGTAATAGAGGTCAAATAAGCTGATATTTTCACTTAATTAATTTTTGACAGTTACGTCTCTCCACTTAAATGTATCGAACTCACTCAAATTTTGCAGAAAACATCCGTTCTTTTTGGGCGACTTCTGTGACTCAGAGGCAGACAATTTATCAGGAAGTCAATGTTCGGGAAGTTTCGCAGATCACAGTGTTAATACTATATATTCAAATTTGCTCACAAATTTAAAGGGGTGGCTCATTTTTTTTAACATCCTCTTTCCCTCACTTCAAATTCTCTCTAACTTCTCTCTAAAAACTCACAACCAAATATAACGAAGTATAAAAAACTCCCTTCAATCTCTATTCTCTCCCTCCGTTTGAAATCTTCTTTCCTTTTCCCCACCGTACTCTGCCCTAATCGTCGTTGGTAACCTCCCTAACCGCCACTGGAGTTTCTCTTCCCCTCTCACCCTCACCGTTGGAGCCTCCTCTGTCCTTCCTCCTATGCGTGTATATCTCCTCTGCAATCTCTCTTTCGCGACACACTCCGGTCGTCTTCTCCCTGCCGTTCCAGCAAGCTCTGTCGCTCAGTTTCGGCCACCACCAATTTTGGCAAACGCGACACCTACCTCCGACCAGCGTTCAATTCTGGCGGCCTGCATACTACTTCTGATCGCGCGATCTTCAGCAACACGTACCCCCTTCTCCCTCCTTTGATTCTAATTTTAGGAAAAATACTATTGTTCCCTCCGAATATAGCTTCGTCCTTCCCTCCCGTACGCATCAACGTCCATCATCATCATCATCATCATCATCTAGCTTCGTTTCTCTTTTCAATTGAGGTAATTTCTCCTTCTTTATTAGAATTATATTTTGATTCTAGTTTCAATTGTTGATATAGTGTTGTAATTAGGAGCTGGAATTTTGATTTAGGAATGAAATTCGAGTATGGTTTAGGAACTAGGTTGTATTGAGTTTTTGAATTATAGCTTGATTATGGCGTAAGGATTGAATTCATGAATCAACACTAATTACTATCTAATTTTAGCATGAGAATTGATTTAGGCTTTGTAACATAGACTGGCATTAGATTGATTTAGCTCTAATTCTTTGACATAATCAGGTTCTTGATATCAAGATGTTGAGCAAAGTTGGCATTGATTAGTAGCTTTTAAAATTGCAATTGAATTTCAAGCTTACACTTAGTTTTGAAAAGTGTTGATAAACCAAAGTCATGAGTTGCAATTTTATGCCAATACGTTTCTTTAAACTTTTAGATACCGATTAACATTTTAGTCTCTAATTAGTTAATGTTTTGTTGAAATTAAAGCATTAAGGTGTATCTTGATACATAGTCTTTAATTTTCTACAAGTTGTGATATAACTCCAATTCCTTATTTGTTGACATAAACTTGTGTTGGAGATATTTTGCAACTTGTGAATATATTCTAATGCTTTAAGTTCACATAATTCCCCTAACTTTGTTGGCTTCTTTGCCATTTACATAATGTCGCTTTGCTTGCAAGTTGTGGATAAATACTTATGTGCTAGAATTCATGGCCAAAAATGCTAAAACTTTGATTTCAAATGCCGATTTATGGTGATTGTTGACATGTATATAGTGTTGTCCATAATTTATTTCTTATACCTTGACATGTAATTCAATTTCGGGTTAGAGTTACCGCATTGTTTTGTTGCTTTAAAAAGATACCGAAATCTTTTTCATTACACTTTTTCAAGATATTTGAAACATTGCAAAATGGTAACAATGTTGTTCGGGATTTTGAATCATATGAACAAAGGATTTTGACTCATGAGTTTTTCACCTTTGTGCATATTTTGCCTCTTATTGATACCGGTATTTTGGTTATGCGTTTTAACCATTTTTTTAGGCATGTTTAGATGAGTATAACATGGCTGCCCGGAATACTCACTTTGTCGTTAAAACTTGAATCTATTTTCATTTATTGATTAATTGTGCTTAGTTCCATATTCACTTGTTTCCGATATCTTGAATTTTGCGTTTCGACTCAATTGTTACATTTTTTCAAAATGATTGCAATGTTGTACCGAATAGCATTTTTATGCTCCTTGCTTATTTCAATTTCCAAATTGCATATCATTGAGTCAAAATGTATGAACGCTTGATATCGGAACTTGAGTTTCTTACTTTTAAAGTGATTTTTAGCACGCTTTTGTTTATTGATATGTGGCTTCCCGGGATACTATGCTATGCTCATGTAACATGGTTATTTTTCCTTGTACATATTCATGTTTCATTTTTATGGATATTACAAATTGCTATTACCACATTTAATTTTGTTGTTATCTACTAACGAGTTTTGTGAGATTGTGCATATTTTGAGAAGTAATTTGGATACCAATCGCTTTGGTGACTAATATGCTTTGCTTGCCCCTTTGTTCCATTATTCTGACATTCCTTGTTGTTGATGCTAGCTTGTGGCGCTTTCTGAATTTCTACACTCATTGATTTTGCTTTACGGATTTGTATTATCTGTTTGGTATGGTTTCGGGCCATTTGTTGTAATATTACATTTACTGCTTTCTAGAGATCATGTAAAGTAGGAGTCATTGTTTAAAGTCCTGTAGCAGGCACCGTTTTCTGTATGATAATTGTGATTGTTTAAAGCCCTATCTTTGAATAGGCAATTCTGCACGTGTGTTTATATTCTTGCATGTATTTGCGTCGTTCTCGATGATGAGTTTGATACTTGGTCTTGGATTCATTATCGATGATGAGTTTGTTCCAAGTGGATTCAATTTGCATTACTTTTTGTCATTTACAATTATGTCAAAAATACAAAGAAAGAAATAATAATGATGTGCGTCTGGTTCATACCCAGATGGGATGTTCTTTTGAGGCTTGGTTCAGTTTACTCTCGATGATGAGTTTGTTCCCCTTTATTTTACTTGTTGCACAAGCATAAAAAGTAAAGAAATACTTAAATATTATTTGTCGTGGTTCACTCTCGAGGACGAGTTTGTTCCCTTTGTCAATTTTTCTTATGCGCATATCTCTCCGTACCTTTTGTACTTTCTTTCTTCCATTTTTGATGCTCCCTTAAGAATTGTGGCTTACTCTCGATGATGAGTTTATTCCAAATAGCAACTAGGATGGTTCTTTCTCGAATGAGTTGGTTCCAAGAGAACCTTGTCCGAACCCTAAGGAAATCTTTGTATGATAACTCTAGGCTTAAAAAATAGGTTTGTCCCTTGTAGACTTTTTCTTTTTTCCCAACTTTTCATGTGCATAAAATACACTTTTTCTTGGAAAATCTTTAAAACGCCTCTAATAAACTCAAAATCCTTTCGTAAAGGTAAAAGATACAAACACATTCAAGTCTCTCTTTCTTACCTTTTGGTTTTTCAATTTTAAACTGGATGTGTTGTTTTTCGCTATATGCAATACGATGCGTAATTCTCCAAGGGTCGGGTTGCACTATGTCTACTTGCTACGAGTTGCGATTATAGCATTATCTGCCTTCAGGCACTTTTTGAGCACATTAATTCCTTTCTACTCTAGATTCGTTCGTCTCCAATGGTTGAGCTGAAGGTAGAATGCGAAATTGATGTTATTCCATAAAAAATACAAACCTACCAAAACTATTGAGTCAACTTACGGCTGCTCTGATTTCTTAAAAGGGATACGTAGAAAGAGGATTTTATGGGGCCTAATCGAGCACAATTTGTAAATACTTCTTTCTTTTCCCCACACTTTTTCTTCTTCTTTTACATGCATACCTTGTACAACTTAGATATATATTCTTACACACCCATTAGCTAAACAACAAGAGTGGACACCATGGAGTACTACGGACGTGTGGGGTGCTAACACCTTCCCCTCGTGTAACCAACTCCCTTACTTAATTTCTTGGTCGAAAGACTGTGATTTCTCGCTTTCAGGTTTTCTTCGATATTTCCCTTTCTCCTTCGTGAGATAAATAGATGTTCGGTGGCGAATTTATTGATTTTTATCCGATGAGTTTTTTCTAGTTCCTTCACTCACCATCCTCTCAAGTTGCGTTTCAACATTACTGATGTTGGAAATCAAGAAGGAAGTGGGTTTTAGTTCAAAGAAAGTAGTGTTTAACACTGTAACAAATGTTGGAATATTTACTGGAACACCCAGGATAGGGAAAACACCCATAATCAAGGTGAAGTCCCTCAAGAAGAACCATGTGCATTTACATGATTCAGACTCGGCGGATGATGAAGATTGAGTCAACTTCATTGAATCAGGAAATTGTGTAAGACAACTAATGCCTACTATATGTTTAAAAAAAGAGAAAAAAATTAAAAAAAAAGTGTGTTTTTTTTCTTCTGTTTATTGAGTCAGTCTTGTCTAGAGTCTTGGGTCTTTGTTTATCTCGTTAGTTTTTGTCTCTTTAAAGAGACTTAGTTTTGGATCAATTTGTTTTGTTTCTTTTTCTTTTATTTTCTTTCTTTTGAGTCATTTTTTTACCCTTAACTTGTGTCTCCTTGGGTTAGTCTGTTAATCTTTATCTTCTTTTGTTATTTTTAGTGGTTCCTTCAAGTCATTTTGGTGCTATAGTCTTGCATCAAGTTAGTGAGTCAGTTTTTTTTGGTTTTTTTTTCTGTTTGTCTTGAATCAATTCTTACTTCTATTGATTATTTTTGCGTGTCAAGTTCTTTTCACTTAGTTTTATCAATTTTTTTCTAAAAAGGGGGAGAAATGGTTCAGTAGGTTTAAGTCTAGTGTTGTTTGCTTTAAGCAAAAATTTAGGGGGATCATGACTTTCTGTCATGTGAGTTTTGAGCATGTGTCTACTGCTTCTGCAGAATGTCCTATAGGATGTTATAATATCATGTTTGTTATGTCTGTTGTGTCTTGTATTCTGAGTTATGAGTATTGTTGTGTCTTGTGCTCTGATTTACGTGTGTTGCTTCTGTGGCATATGCTTGTGTTCTTGAGGGGGAGATTTATCTATCTACGACAAGAAATAGTTTTGTGTTTGAGTGGGGACATTTTACATGGTTCTAAAGATGCAATCCATCTTCTTCCTCATGTAAAAAGTTTACATTTTTAACATGTAGCTTGTGTTTGTGTAAGTGTTATATCTTTGATAAATGTTTTGTGCAGTTGATTTATGGTCTTATTCCTTTGTGGTGTTATTCCTCTCTCAAGTTTTATTTGGGGTTTTGGTTGTTTTAGAGAAAAAAATTCCAAAGGGGGAGATTGTTAGTTCTATGGTTTTAGAATTGGCATAATGTTTCTAAAACATGGTTCTATATTGATGTTGATCAAGATGTTTCATCATTCTTATCAACTGTCATAATTGTTTTGATGTTATGAGTTTTTCAGCTAGATGTCGAAGCACATGTCATGACATCTTGGTCTGGTACAACAGTCGGTGCTATTTTAAATCTTGACATATTTGATTTGATTCTGTGATATTTTTTTTGGATATATCTCAGTAAATTTTGCAGGTCAAGAAGATTTTATCTAGAAGAAGTTTTATATCTCCAGTTGTACATTAGTTACTAAATTGGGCCTTGAGACAATTTAGGAAACTTTATATTAGTTGTTCCAAGATTTAAGAAGATTTTGATGCACAATTCGTGCATCACTCAGCTTATGGATCAAGAAATATCTGGATGCAGATTTCAAAGCCTATGGACTGCAGAGGTGTATTTATTGAGAAGACCTAACCTAATGTAATTGAATCTTTTCAATAATTTGTAAATCATGGGAAGCTTAGAGTCTTAGGTTTTGAGAGTCTCTAGTGTAGTTGTATGTCACCCTTGTATCTTTTGATACCTGTGGTAGACATAATGTTCTCACTCAGAAACCTGTAGGTAATGACTTGAGTATTGTTCTCACTCTTGAAGCCTTTAAGCAAAAGAGTTGAGCTTTTTGTATTGAAAGTGTAATCTTCTTATTGCGATTGTTTTTTGATACAATCACTAGGAATGGGATTGTTAGATATCACTGAGGTAATTTAGGGAGTGAGATGGTGATTTCTCATATCTAGATGATGATTTCTCGGTAGAAATGACATTGGGTAGGGATTAAGTGAGTAGCTGTAAACTTGGAATTTTTAGGCTTTGAATTAATACTGCTGGTCGTGAATTTCCTTCCTGGCTTCGTAGCCCCCAGAGTAGGTGATATTGCACCAAACTTGGTTAACAACTCAATGTGTTATTTATCATTCTGCAATTTAATTTCAATATTATTTTCATCTTGATAAGTCTGTTCATTCTGTCAACAGATACTGTAACATTTGTAGTGACATTGCTCTGATGTTGGGACATCAGTATTTAACATGTGTTGCTTGTACCCGAATTTCACCTATTATTCCATAGGGAACAATTATGTATGATATGGGTGTTGGGGTGGGGAACATTATTAGGGATAACGAGTTTTTGTAAAGCATGTATAATCAGAGAATATAGGACTTGTTAAATCCTAGTTGCACCAATCTTCATCAGGGTATGGGTCCCCTGTATGAGATAGTGAGTGGATGTGAGAATTAAGGTACAACCTAAAGATGTAAATAAGCGAGAAACCGAAACCAAATTGGTACAAAATATAGGTATGTATAAAACATCATGAATATATATTATCAGAGAAGTAAATTGAGCCAGTTAAATTGGTGGTTATGGTGGCTCGAATAGGAAACCTTATGTTGAAAGGTTGAATGGTTTTAAGAAAAGAAAACATAGACTTGGAATGGAACACATGGTCCGTGGACGTAGTATCTAACAACCAATCATGGGAACCTATGTTTTTAATGTGAAGAATGGAAGGAAAAGTAGCCGTGTTAGAAGGATGGGATAACTGAAGGTGCAAAATTGTATTTGTGGATGGAGTATTGCTTTGTTGGAGAAGTGTGAGCAAAGCGCTTTGTGACCAGCAATTAAAACTGAGTGAGTATTCCCATTGTCAGATTCTTCAATAATGTATTGGGGTTGGTCATCCATGGATACTTGAGCAATTTTTGGCTTGTTCAGATAAGGTGAAAGCCCATGCTTTTTGAAGCACACTTCAATGGTGTGTCCTATATTATTGCAATAAGTACATATTTTGAGACCTTTGGGTTTGTTTTAGGGTTGTGCTTTGGAGCCGGAGTCAGGAGAAAGAACCTTTCTAATAAGTTTTGGAAACTTGGGATATAAGTTTGTCATCTTAAAGCGGTTGTATCAACTACCTTTCTTGTTGAATGAGGAGTGAAAAAACTTTTTTAACTGGGGATAATGGTGTCATCACCTTTCGGCTCTAACATGAGCATAGAAATTGTTGAGGCCTTTCAAAAAATGAATGAAATATTCGTTGTCGTGATACCCTTTGATTGTTGATATTAAGGAACACTTACAAGATGGTTCACAAATACAACTTGGAATAGGCCGAAAGATATTGAATCCTTGCCAAAGTTTCTTGAGTGTTGTGAAGTATTCAGTTATGTTCTGATCACCTTGTTTCTGAGCATATATTTATTCATGGAGATCCGAAATACATAAGATATTGCCTTGATGATATCGTTCATATAGTTCATCCCAAATGTCTTTTGTAGAGTCCATCCAAAGGACGCCTTCAGAGATATCTTTCTCTATGGAATTTGTAAGCCACACAATCACCATATTGTTACATCTATCCCAAGCAAGAAATTTTGAATCGGGGGAATTGGGACAAATTAGGGTTCCATCAATGAACCCTAATTAATTTTTTAAGCTTAGATGTAGCTTGATTGTGCGATACCAAGGATGCACTACTATAAAAAAGGGAAAAGACAACGCTTTTTTAGGCTTTTAACAGCGCTGCCTGATAACGCAATTTTATATAGTATATTTGGCTTAATTTTCATAGATAATATTAGTATTTTTATTTATTTATTCTATTTTATTGTTGTATTACGTTGGTATTTCTTTTGTTTCAGGTATTTGTATTAAATAGAAGATAAATTGAGAAAAGAAAGAAATTGAGGGAAAATCGGATTAAAAAGTCAAAGAAATGAAGCAAAAGGGGTGATATAGCAAAAAGGAGGAGTTAAGAAGAAAGAAATAATTACAAAGAAAAAGACTAAGCCCAGAAGAGCAAAAACCCATGCAGGCAAGAAAACCATGCAAGAGTGAGACGCACGTCTCAACTCTCCTCCTACAATTGAGGCGCCCGCCTCGGACTTTCCCCTTAGTGGGAGGCGCCCGTCTCAGCATGGTCAAAGGGAGAACAAGTCAATGGAGGCGCCCGTCTCAACGTGGGCAAGTAAGAAACGAGAAATTCATGGATATGTGTCCCATGTTCTCCCATGATTCTGGTAGTTATTCCCATGTTCTCCCATGATTTTGGTAGTTATTCCCATGTTCTCCCATGATTCTGGTAGTTATTCCCATGATCTCCACTAGCCTTCGTACAACATGGAAGCGGGAAGTTACAAATGAAGCCTATAAATACAAGTTCAACCTTCAGAGCAAGGGTCAGCGAATTTTACCGAACAACCGTTATTTAGTCTTTCTTTATTTTTCTGTTTTCGTATTTACTTTTCAGTTTTGTATTTCTACCATAATTTTCTAGTTCGGTTTCTTTCTTTAGCTTTTATTTTAGTTTAAGTTTCTATAATTTTCACTGATCTAACCTTACGTTAGATCTAGTGCCTTTTTATTTCTTGTCGTAATTTTTCTTTTCAATTCAAGAAGTCTCCGAGCAGATCCAACCGACTTGTGGGGGAATGCTCGTTTATTTCGAAGAACAAGATTATTCAAGCATTATTATATCCAGGTTCTTAATATAATTATTTTAATTTATTTAATTAATTATTTGCATGAGAGATATTTATTTAGCCATGAATTTATTTACGAATGTTAATTCCTTTAATGTATTCATGTCTGCTTTTATGAGTATGTCTGGCTAAATTATTTAAATATCGGTATGTAACGAGTTAATTCGAATGGATCCGGAATAAACAGGCTTGATTATATTTCATAAAATAAACACTTTTTCTGATTTAGTTATCTAGTTTATTTTGTTAAAAAGGTTTAGAAACCAACAGAGCGACAGTTTGAGGTTAATAAACCGACTAAGATTAGAAACCAACAGAGCGACAGTTTGAGGTTTAGAATCAGATAGTAGATGCTAGGTATTGTTTTTAAAGATGGCGACAGCGTTTTAAAACCAATTAAACTTTATTTATTTTCAAAAAGTAATTTTAAAATCGATGGGATGGCGAAAGCGTACATTAGAGTTTAAAATTATAATTTACTTCAA